AGGAGGCTGCACCCTGAGCTCCCTGCCCGCCGGCCAACATCTGTACAAACACCGCTCTCGCTGTCTCCCGGTGATGCCAGGATTGAGTTCTGTTTGCAAAGCCCTTTGAAGAAGCCTGTTTCTAACTATCGTGGTGTTTATTAAAACGCAGCTCCCCCCGCGGGACAGCGGAGCAGAAACAAAGCTGATCCACGGGGAGCTTTCGGGGCCGGCGCGGTGCTCTGAGCCGGGGCCGGCAGCCCGTGGTGAGGCCAGTCCTCTCGGGGAGCTGGTGCGTGGGACTGGCCTTCGAGCAGGGGCTCCTGAATTGGCCTCTGCTGAAATCAGCTCTGTGACGGAGCTTCAAAACAAAGCAGAACTTTACTGGTCATGAAAAGCAAAAATGTTTTGCTTTCTCACTGCATGATAAACTCGTTATGTAAGTGTTACTTTCCACACATCTGTGTCACGGCTTGTTGATAATTCCTCTCGATCAGCCTGATGTGTCGTTTGGTTTGTTGTAGTGAATGCTGAGCTATTGCTGTTTGAGGATGGAAAAATCTCAGCAGGTGCTTGTCCAGCAAAGAGGACACTCCAGACCTGCAAAATGTCCACCCCACGTCTTCTTGCAGCCTCAGCTGTATCACTCCACCAGTCCATCAGGAGCTGGACTCGATGATCCTTGTGGGCTCCTTCCAACTCAGGTTATTCTGATTCTATACCTGCAGCAGTTCACTGGATGAAAACCACTCCTTCCCTGGCTGGTTCACAGGGCAGGTGGAGTTTCCAGTCTTTGTTTGACTGGGAATGGCCTGACATACTGCTGTGTTAGCTTTCTGTGCATCTGTGTGGTCATAAGTGACACTATATTGTTATTATTAATAATATTTATTATTATTACTATCCATTGCATTATTAATTCTCAGGCTTTATGTTCAGTGCATGTGCATTCTCATAAGGAAAATGGGATTCCTGTTTTCTTCTCTTTTTTCACATGAATAGTTTATCTGCTGCAAATACAATTTCAAGCCATCAATGTTCTTTCAGAGTTTGGTCTGACTTTATAAAAACAGTCCTTGCAACCCAGTTTAGCTCATTTGAGTTTAACTGGAGAACCAATAAAATAAAAAGTACTCTTTTAAGTGAAATCAAAACAATAATATTTGGAAAGAGGTAAATGAATGGAAGTGGGAAGATGACAGTCAGTCCCACCCTTTTCAGAGTACGGGTCTGGACACTGAGGATGGTGACAGCTCCATGTGACACTGGCAGAAGTGGTGTCCTGCCCTGGCTAACCCAGAGAGGCTGTTGTCACCAGCCCCAAAGGCTGTGTTGGCCTTCAGCCCCTCCAAAACCTTCCTGCTTGCCTTTGGGGGGACCCTGAGACCGTGGGATGTGAAGGGTGATGGCTCGTGGTGCACCCAACCACTGGGGGTCTCTCTGCCACCATCACTAGCACTGGGAAAATCCGTATGTTTAGGGAAAATCTTTGAACAGAACGTGTTTCCAGCTGTGTGCTGGATGGACAGTTGGTCACTCTGGGTCCTTCTGCTGCTTGAATCTTTCCACTTTTAAGAACAAATTGTTGTCTCAGGAGACCAACTCCAGACCTGCCAGGAACAGCTTCATTTCCAGGGGCTTCCTTGTGCCTGCCTGGACTAAAGTGCCACGACACAACGAGGTGCAGATAAGCTGCAGAAAGAGGAGTTAAAGGAAAGAGGGAAGAGAAATGAAATGGAAAGAGGTATTTTATTGGCAGCATTAGGATTTCAGAGGGAATCACGGGGGGATGGAATTTCCTTTTCTGTTTATTTTGGTATCTGACCATCACCAGTGATTTCTGTGGTGGGACTGGGAACCAGCTTGCGAGCTCGTGGATACCAGCCTGACTTCAGTTTGGGGTAATTATGCTAAGCTGTGTTTTGCCCATGGATGCCATGAGGGCATCCCTGAACTAAGGGATTTTTCGAGATAAATGTGAGTTGTAGACCTATAGGAGCACTGAGACGAAAAAGGGACATGAAAAAAAAACCCCACATACAAGCAAGGAACAGGGATGAAGATACTGTTGCATAATCTGGGAACGCTGTTGCCTTGACTTTTGGACGGTGGCAGCTCTGTACCTGTAATTACTGTGTGGATTTATAAAAACTGTGCATACAGCCTATATGCTGTAGCTTTTTCCAGTGAACTTTTTTTTCAGTCTAGGCCTTGATGTCTGCAGGAAATTGATATTTTCCAGTTTTGCAAGATGCAAAACACCGATAACCTTTTGCAACCCTCCTCTCCCATCAGTGCTGATAGGAAACCAAGTTAGTGCAATAAAAGCATAAAAGCTCATTTGTAACCCAGGGTTCACTCTGTGAGGGTCACTACGGATAAATAAAGCCTCTCCCTGGCCCAAGCACAAACGGTGTCCCACAGTGGTCCCTTTGGGCACCATGCAGCACCTCTTTCTTTTGCTAACAAACCAAACTTACTTTAAGTAGCAGAGAATAATGGCCCAGGAGTGCAGTGAGGTCTGATGCCAGTGATAGGGTTAGTGATAGGGCACACCCAGGGCAGCTGCAGCCACTGCTGGCACTGGAAATGGGGGTGATAGAGATGGAGCTTACAAGAAAACAAATTAATTAAACATTTTTTTCCCAGCTGAAGTCCGGGAAGGCCGAGTTAACCAGCATGTAGCCCCTGCACAATGTGCTCGGCTGGGAAGCACTGGAGGCTGAGCCAGCATCCACCCCGCTGAGCCGAGAGGGGCCGGGTGGGATCGGGGAAGGGACTGTCCAGGCAGGGACGTGACTTGTGTCTTGGAGGGGAATGTGCTGCCGGTCCCCTTGCCCTCCACACTGCCAGAAGTCTGTATACTCACAAGAGAAAGAACAGACTGTGACATTGGCAGCTTATTATTCTTTTGGAGCTTTTTTTGACTTACAAGGTTGATTTTGAGAGAAGAAGTTTTGTAGAGCTCCTTTGCTCCGGCATGTGACACACACTCACAGAGGGGCTCCCAGCCTCTGGCTCATGGGTATTTTGGGTAAGCTGAACCTGTTTTAGGCAATTCTGCTTTCAGGCCGTCAGCCATCCATCTGCCCATCCTCTCCATCACACACCACCACCCGAGTGATGAGGCAGCTCGTGCTACCCCAGCCCACTGCAGCGGCACCCAGGCAGCGCAGCAACCTCCTACTCTTTTTTTTTTTTTTCGTAGTCATGATAACTTCTTATTCACGCTGTTGAGCAGTTAAAGAAAGGCAAGATGAAAATCCCCATGGCTTTCCCTCGGTCAGCTCTGTGCTTTCTCCCGGGCCCGGCAGAAGGCGCGTTTGCCAGCGGGGCCGGGCGGCCGCGGGGCCGGGCGCCAGGCGGATGCCGGATCCTCGCGTTGCCAGCGGCCCCCGGCAGTGCCCGGCAAAAGCCTTTGTGCCCGTTCTGCTGTTTGAAAAGAGCCGCGGTGCTGATGCCGTCACCCTTTAGCCCCTGCCCGGGATGGCTGCGGGGATTAACTGGTTTGTTACTATTTGTGCAAAATTATGTGTGTGCCGTTAAGGAGAGGGAAGGGAATGGAGGACAAGGGTGCAGTCCTGTCTCTGATGCTGGTTGTAACACCACACTCTTCCTCTCTAGTTTCTTGTGCCAGTGATCCATGGTTTGTATAAAGAGGACAGAGCTTTCTGGGGTCTGCTTTTTTATCCGATGCATTTGACTCCAACTTCCATGATGCTCTAGGAAGTAGTATCAAAGAGTAGTAACTCTTCAGAGAGCTAATTATTGGTGAAAGGGAAGGGTTTTTCTGCTGAACATGAGTTTTATACATCTTCCATATATATAGGGCCAGTTTACCCAAGATTTCAATATGTTTGAAAGCACTCAGAGGATGCTGGTGAAGTACTAAGGATGCTATTTTGCTTTCCCATTTTTCTCCTCATCACCCAGCTGCACTTAGCCTCCAGTTGTGAGAATCCAGGTGATGCAAAAAGCAGAGAGAAAACCCAGCTCCCTTGACTTTGATCTCTTGCTCATCTTGACAGTGCAGCAGCTCTGTCTCCTGGGATGTTTGCTGCTCCCTGCAGTCAGGTGGAGACCAGCAACCTCCTCAGTGTTAACTGAAGTTCACCGTGGTCCGGGAGAGGAGATCCTGTCCTGTCCCATGTATTCCACCATTTTCTTTCCTATGGCCCCGAGACAGGGCAGAGCTGGCAGGAAAACCTTCCCTCAGAGTTCAAACCGGGCAGCTTTTGCGTTTTCTTTTCGACTCATAGTTGAAGCATCCTTAAGGTCCATCCTGATAGGACACCCAGGGGATAATCATATGCTCCTCGCTTGCTTGCTTGGGCTCACACTTGTGTGAGCCAAGACTTTGCCTCCTGCTTTTCTGCCATTTCCCATGGCTCCATCCCGCTCCGCACCACTGACCTTTTGTTTGGTTGTGGTCGCTTATTTTTAATGAAAAAAAAAAAAGGAAAAAAAAAGGCTGAGAAACCGTTGAGATGGGGGAAAGGGGGGGATATGAGGGCCGTATAAAGGGGGGGGGGTATCGGGGATGGGGGTCAGTATAGAGGGGGCGAACTGCGGTGGGGCGGTGCGGGGGCCCTCCCGGTGGGCGAGGCAGGGCGGGGCAGGGCGGTGGGGGTCCCTCCCACCGGGAGGGGGCCCCGCCCCGGCCGTTCCCGGGGGATAAAGCGGGTGCGCGGCGGCGGGTGCGGTGATGGGCGCGGGATGGCGGCGCTGGGAGCGCTGGTGAAGAAGGCGTGGAGCGTGCGGCGGTTCGTGGTGCTGCTCTGCGCGCCCCTGGCGCTGGTGCCCGTCCTGCTCAGCCTGCCCGCCAAGGTACCGCGGCCGGGCACCCGCCGGGAGGGAGGGAGGGCCGGGCAGCGTGGGTGGGCACTGCGAGTGGGGGACACCGAGTGGGATGCGCTGACCGCGGACACTGACTGGGGGACACCAAGCGGGGCCACGGACCGGGAGCACAAACCGGGGGCGCCGACTCGGGACACGAACCAAGGGTATGAAACAGCCCGTGGAACTCAGTTCCACACCCCGTGGAACTCAGCTCTGGGGACACGGACCGGAGACACAGCCTGGGTGCTCTGTGCCACATCTTGCCTCGGCCCCAACAATATTCGGCTCGAGAGAGGGTCGCCCTCCTGCCTGCCGGGGTTTGCCCGTGGAGGGGGGGGACCGCAAAGCCTGTGGGCTGCCACAGCTCCTCACCCTTCCACACCACCCGAGAGTTCGAATGGAGGGGACATCCTGGGGTTACTTCAGCTTTTTAGGGGGAAGAAGGGATAGATAATTGAGCTGTTTGTTACTTATATAGACATTGGGAGGTGGAACGAACTTTGGGGTCAGCATCAGCTCAAGCTAAGTGGCACTAACTAGTAGTATTGCTTGCTGGTACCCCAGTGCCTTGTTGCAGTTTTCATTGGTGGTGCCCAAATGGCAGCTGGGGAAACAGAGGTGAGGCAGGTCTATGGCCAGCATCCCCCAGAGAGGGGCTGGCAGAGCTCGGGTGGAAGGTAAGTGCCTGGCACTTTGAGACTGCCTGGCATCGCTGTCCCATCCCCTTAGGGAGGGGAGTGGCAGCGGGCAGAGGTGTGGGCAGGGGGAGAGGGACCTGCAGAGCTGGGGAATCGTGCCTGTGCTGCAGGGCTGGGGAATGCCAGGGAGCCACGAGTGCCACCCGCACCCCTGTGGGTGACTCCTGGGGAGACCTGTGGTGCCGTATCCGGAAAGGTTTTGTGAGTAAGATATTTGTGGTGGTTTGTAGGCGTGGAAAGACCGTTCTCCTGTTAAGGTTTGTACTTTAGCATGTGCGTTAGGCTGCACATTAAGCAACCTGTTGCAAAACTTTGCAGGCTGAAGGATTTTTGCAGCTGTCCCACATACACATCTCTTGTGCACCAGGAGCCTCTGAACCTTGTGTGGAAGTCCACGGGACGGTGAAGTCACCGTGGAATTTTGCGCCGTTGACTTCAGTGCGGGCAGGATTTCACTCTTACATTCTGACTCAGATCCATTTGAGAATGACTTTGTTTACATCTGACAATAACTACTGATCAGTACTTAGTGATTACAGGATAGGTCAGGTGCTGTAAGGACACAAAGTTGGCACTGAGTCTGTACAATGTTTGTCAGGTGAAACCTTTTCATTTGAGATACAAAATAAACCTCTGAAATTAAAAAATAATATAGAATGATTGTTGCTTTATTTAATGACTTTATATTAAAAGAGAAATTTATTTGGATTTAATCTCCCTTTGTTTTTCTATTTTACATTATTGGTTGAGTTCTGAATAGGACTATATTAAATGTCTGCCTCAAAGAGCAGAAAGCACATTGCACAAGAGGTATTTAATTACTTTGCCAATTCATAAGTGGAGCGATAATTACATTTCTAGGTTCATTTACAGTAACTGATCAAATGACGTCAAGTATATTTAATGGTATCTTGTTTGACCTTGGCAACTGTAAAATTGTGAGATATGGTTAGAGGGTGAGGAGATGCACTGATCATACAGTGCAAGCTTGTGTCTGGACCGTGCAGGGGCTATTTGTGAGAATAAATCACAGATGAACCCGGTTCTGTGGCAAGATCTAAATGCTCAGTGTACTGGTAGAAGTGTATAGTGTCACACAGGCTGTGGAAAGATTTGGGTGTTCAGGAAAGGGATTTCTTCACATGTACAGAAGAAAATGTCTCTACTAGTGCTGTTCACACCTGCTCCACTCCTGCCGATCACTTTGGGGTGCGATCCAGGGAGGACCTCATGCACAGTCCAGTCTGATCAATGCTGGTTTATCAAAGGAAAAATGGTGTTGGGAAAGGGGAAATGTTTGCAGCTGAGGGGGTGGCAAAGCAGTGGGGCAGCTGTGGGCAAGGAAGGAGACCTTGGCAGGGCTGGCTGCTCTGCCACTCACCTTAGGGGTCTGTTCTTTATTTTCCATGGGCACTAAATGCATTACTGGTGGTAGAAGTGAGACTCTCCAATACCTGTGCTGGTTCCTGTCTAACTCTGATGCTCCCGTGGGTGTTAACCATGTTTCAAGCAAGTCCAGCTGCAGCTTCCACAACTTCTCCCAGAGTCTGGAGTAGGGGTGAACCTGTAGCTGTGAGCTGCTGTACACAAGTGTATCTGTTCATATTCAGGGGTCAATGATTCATCCACAGTTTCAACACTAAACTCTCTCACTTGTTCAGCAAGAAAGGAAACTTGCTGTTGCACCAACAAGGGATTAAGTTCTGACGTCTGGAACTTGCTTGAGCCCCCGTCCACAGCCCGAGCCGAGGGGGGCTGTGGGAGAGGAAGGAGCAGGTTACGCTTTTACCCACAGTGTGAAAACACCAACGGGGAGGAACAGGCGAGGAGTCAGCAGGCAGGGGATCAGGGGTGGCAGAGTGTGGACGTTCTCCTGGCGCGTGACGGGAACCGCTGTGCCCCTCGAGTCAGGAGGTTTGTCCCGGCGCGCCCTGGGCAGCCACGTCGCCAGAGCTGCTGCAGGTGTTCCACTGACTGGGCTGCTGCTGGTGTTACTGGGAGCCTGTCCCAGGCAGGGCATCCAGGGAAAGCAGGCTGGGGCAGGAGGAGCTCCTGGGTGAGGTGAGGTCACTGTAACCACCGTGATGCTGCTGAGTGCTCACACGTCTGAAACTCGGGAGAGTTGGATGGGCTGGAGAGCCCCATGTTCCTGCTGGGATGGTCAGTGTGCTGCCTTGCAGGGTGTAAAAGAAACTGGTAGGAGATGAGAAGCAGTGAGGCTCAGCCTTTGCTGGTCCCAGGGTGAGGTTTCCCTTGTGGAAAGGAATCTTACAGGCATCTCTGCAGTACTTTCCTGCTCTGGGAATGCTAAAATATATTCCCATGTCGTGTCATCATTTACCTTCTCCCCCCTGGGATGCTCAGCAATTTTAATTCTCCAAGGGATTGCCACCATAAAAAGCCAGCTGAGCTTTGGCTTCAAGGGCAGTGTTTTGCTTGGATCTGAAGACCAAGAAATCTTGACTTGAAGCTGATATAACAGAGAACCACAAATAGGATGTGGCTTCTTGCATTAGTGTGTCCTTTTGAGTGACACCCTGTGGTGTGGGTGCACTGGATCTTCCAGTGAAACCTGCACCTAGGTGACATCTCCCTAGAGAAAAGTAATCCTTTGAGAAAAATCATCCATTAATTCTGGTCTTGCTTACTCCAGATGGACTCCAGCATTCACATCTGCAAGCTGCAATTAAAGCTCTGGCTGGCTTTCACCCTGCAGTGGTTGTTCTCCAGATCTCTGTGTGAGTCCCTTCACAGAGGGACGGTGACAGGGCTGGCACTGGTGCTGATGTGATGTTAATTGCCCTTGTTTTTGTTTGATGCCCTTTGTAGGTTGCAGTTGTGGACAGAGAGACTTGCATAAGTGCTTTTGTCTGCAGCCTCCTGTCTCTTACATAGAGAAATGAAATTTCTGCTTTGTGAGTGGGTCTGCCAAGACCTCAGGGTGTGCTCCCCAAACCATGGCTGGAACAGTGGCTTGTGTCTGTCACATCAAGCAGCAGAAGGAAATGCTCTGTGTGGAACCTTCTCTGCACGAGGGTCTGTGTGTCACCTCCCGCTCTGGTTGCTGCTGAAATAGCTGAATATTTGTCCCGTGAGTGGAAGTGCCTGTGACCCCCCTGCTCGGAGGCCTGTGAATGATTGCAAAGAGCTGGAGCAGGGCAGGAGGGGCTGGAGGAACTGTTCTGCTGGAAGGGGCATGGGGGGCACTTTTAATGAGCTGTGCAAAGAGCTTGTTCCAACAGCTTCTAATGAACTCAATGTCTACAGCCTCTTGGCTTGGTAACAGCTGAGGCAGCCAAATCTGCTAAAAGGAGCTCTGAGCAGGCAAATAGGGCCCAGTGCCTTCAGAGAACAGACTTGACTTCCTTGGTGGCCATAGAGCAATTTAAAATTAACTCGGATGTAATGAGTCCTCCTGGTTAGAACAAGGAGACTTTAAGAACTTCCAGAAGAAAAATTACGTTGCTTGCTCTGGAAAGCAAAGACTGTGAAGGGCGGCTTTGTGGGGACAGGGGTGATGCAAATGTAGGCAAGTGGGGCTGGGAGCAGGGTGTCCTGCAAGGTGGAGTGGAACTGGATCCTGGACTGGAGAGCACAGCAGGAGCACAGACAGGCAGGGAGCAGTGTAGGGAGCAGCCTGGCAGGACAAATAAGTGATTGTAGCCTGATGATACATTTCATACGCAGAGTCCATCTCTGCTGAGTACGTGCTTGGTGGTTTAGAAAGGCCAGTTTCACAAAACTGGGAACAATGGTCAGTTAAAAGCTGAGAAGAAGAACTTCAGCGGGGAAAGAGGGGTGATCACTGACAGTAGGGTGACTACCTTTTATCATATGCACTGTGAGTTTCAGTTTGGAGAGAGGGCAAGCCTGGAGAAAAACGAGCTGGCAAAGGGAGGATGTGAAAGCAGCAATACTTGGATGGGGGGGAAAGGGAAGTGGACAAGAGTCAGTATTAATTGGATGCTGAGGACCACAGAAAATATGTGGTCATGTTTTATGATCAACAATCATAAAGGTCTTTTCCAATCTCAACAATTCCATCATTCTATGGGAAGGAAGAACTGAGGAAGAACACACTGGACAGAGTATTGAGTGATGAGTGTAATGGTGTGGTACAAAGGAATCCAACCCATGGTAATCTGTTGTCAGATGCAGAAAAAGCCATGTTCAGTGAAACATTTTTGTTCTGTCTTCAGCAAAGTGCTCAAAGTGCAGTCCTTTAGCATGAGAAGTTGACTGACAATGAAATATTTTTACTGTGACTAAAGAGAAGTTAAAGTACATATGTCCAACCCTGGTTACTTTAAAATCCACAGGTTTAGGTAGCTTCCATACCACAGTTTTGTAAGAGCTGCCTGAGGAGTTTTGTGAATAATAAATAATAAAGCAGGTGCATTTCTACAAGCCCCAGGGTGGATGGAGATCCCCAGGAATGCTGACCACGGGTCAGGCTGATTTGTAGCCCCCTGTTGGGAAGTAGATTCCACAAAGAGGTGTGAGGTAGCAATATGTAACATTGAGATGTCATATCTGAACACGTGTAATATGTTCAATATTTAATTAGTTGGACACAGCAACTGGCCTGGCTGCCCACAGTCAAGAGGGTTAACGTGATATCTGTGTGTGTGGGACACATGCAAGCTGAGCAAGAGTAGTGTGAGTCTACCAGGCTGCTTTTTGCTGGGGCAGTGGCTTTTTGCCACACATTCAATTTGCCCACTTTATCTGAGCTTCAGCTGTCCTGTTTTAAAACAGAGAAAATTCTTCTTTTTTTTTTTTTTTCAACTACGAAATACTTCAAGTTCAAATAAAAGTGTTTAATTATCTTTGTCATTTTAGCAGAGCAAAACAGGTTCCCTGAAGCTCCTGCAGCTTGTGGCCCCTTTCTAGCTACTCTGGAAATAGCTGGTGGGAGCAAAATGACTCCACTGGCAGGAAGGCTGGCAAACAGGGCTTGGGTTAGGTCCAGATTACATAATGTTTACAGGAGCTGTGTTAGAAATCAGATTCACACATCTATCCCACTGGAGAGCAGGCAGTGGGAGCGAGGGGGCCACTAGCACAGTCAGAGCTGTGACTTGAGAACACTCAGTGATTTTTGCACCAAGTAGTTCTGCACACTGCAGGTAGAACGTTCCTTTGTGGTAGTGGTGGGACAAAAGGGCTTGAAAAGCTCCGATGCATCCAAAATATCTGTTGGTGTTGGGATCAGGGTCCTGGAGGAGCCCTGTTTGCCCCCTGTTTGCCTGGGTGGGGGTGGTGAGGCTCTGATGACCACGTAGCACCCAGAAGTTGGTGGGGAAAACCCAAAGCTTGGCAGTGCCAAGGCAGGGCTTCTCTGAGCGCTGAGTCTGCCTGGTGGGGAAGCTGTGGGCGCTGGGTCTGATGGAGAACGAGGTCCAGCTCAGGATCCTGGTGGCTGGCAGCGGGGCCTGGTGGCTCATGCATGTCCTGGTGCTATGTCTGGGTGAGCCAGCTCGCCTTATCTGACCTACATTCCCTGCCAGAACCTCCTTTCCCCGGGCACCTCACCTGCCCTTCCCAGAGACCTCCAGCTCTCCTGCCCACAGGAGATTGCCTCATGGCTTGGCTTCTTCTGCCATGGCTCAGCAGGTCCCCCAGTGTGGAAAATCTCCGGTGCTTT